TGTACTGTGACACATCGATTTCAGGGTTAGGCGCGGTACAGATGCAGAGGGGGCATGTGATAGCGTACGCCTTGAGGCTGTTGAAGCCTCACGAGGCAAATTACCCCACTCGCGACCTGGAATTGGGGGCAGTGCCGTTTGCCCTCAAGATTTGGAGGCACTACTTGTATGGAGTGCGGTGTACCATCTATACTGATCACAAGAGTTTGAAGTATTTTATGGATCAGCAGAACCTCAACATGCGACAGAGGAGGTGGTTGGACGTGCTGAAGGACTATGATTGTGAGATCCTATACCATCCCTGGACGGCCAACGTGGTGGCCGATGCTTTGAGCCGCAAGGCGGCAGGTTCCCTGATTGGGAACATTTGTTTAAGGATGACCGTGATCTCTCCATTGTTGGATATGATCAAGGATGCTCAGGTCGAGGGGGTGAAGAAGGAAAATTGGAAGATAGAGCAGATCCGGGGGCAGTATCCTTTGTTTATTAAGGATAGTCGTGGCCTTTTGACACAGTGTGGCCGGGTATGGGTACCAGTGACTGGAGGAGTGAGGCAGAAGATATTCGAGGAGGCGCACAAGTCCAAGTTCTCTATACATCCAGGGCTACAAAATGTATAGAGATGTGAGAATGAGTCATTCGGGGCTGAATTCAATGTAGTTTGCTCATTGTTATTAGATTGGAACATATTGTATGAAATCAACCCAAGGTATGTGTTCAATTCTACAAGTGACCAGGTTGAAGTTTTGCTTCTTAGTAACTCCTTTGAGAAAATGTATGTGTAGGTACATGATATAATGGGGCTACCTATGTGATTGTGAAGTGTAGTTGTGCTTCAAAAAGGTTGTAGACTTGACCTTTGATTAGGACATACGGCTTTACAATGGTGTCAAAGTTTTACTTCTAGAGTAGGAAAACATGTATGTAGTTTATAGTTAGGTAGTCAAAATGGGTTGAAGGGTTCAATTCTTAAGAACACCCCGATTCTCGGTTATTTTATCCATAAATTACTAAATGAGAATTCAATCGTTTCAATATTTTCATTATGTGCATGTTTTTGGTTTATTTAAGAAGTTAAAATATAAACTCATAGTAACTCTAAAATGGGGGAGGATTGTTGGTGATTTTAGAGTTGTCATGGTCGGGTGGCTCTAATGGATTCACATGTTTCATTTTGAGTTAAGGAGATTATATTGTATCGATGATATTCCAAATCGTGGTTATAATGCAAGCAAGGAGGTGGGGAGTACACACTTGCATAAACCTATACTAGAATATGTATATGAAAGGTTTAAGGAAAATTAAGCATGACTAAACTTGGGAAATATGAAATCAATTAAGTTAAATACTTGAAATTGATGAAATCATGTATAAATCAAGTTATTAAGGCTTCCTTAAATCTCTTAGACATTATGAAATCATGTATAACTCAAGATAAATTAATATGTTGTCGGTTACACTTATTAATGGAATGTAATTAACACTTTGGGATTAGAACTTTGGTGTTAATGAACTCCTTAATGGTGTAGGTTACAACTTTGGTATTAATGATCTCCCTGATGGTGTAGATTACACCTTTGATATTCATGAGCTCCTTTAATGATGTAGGTTACAATTTTGGAGTTAATGAGCTCCATAATTTCACCTTGTAAGTTATATCTTCTACTTAGTATAAAAGGAGAAGAGGTGTTCATTTTGCAAAGCATGAAAACTTGATTTATTGGCACTTTCACTTAAACAAACGAATCATCTAGAAGTTGTTAACACAAATTTGGTGCCTCAATATTGTGTTGTGTCGGACAGATTATCCTTGTTGAAAATTTGTGTTACCAAGGCATAGGTTGGAAATTAATTAGCAAAGAAAGTGATCACACGATTTGTTCGAACTAATCCGGTACTCACCATCTTTACCTCCATTCATCAATATTCCCCCAACAAATCCAATTATGCCATCGTATCGAACTGTACACCGAATGAAATTGTTCCATGAGAATGCTCCAAATATTCAAGTCACATTTATGATCAAACAACCTTTTGACATACATTTCGAAAGCACAAACCACTATTCATTTGTATATTGGTTGTTGTATCAGTCAATGTCATAGAAAAGGTCACATGTAGAAAATGTATATTTTCAACAATGACGTGATGTCACATGTAGAAAAGGTCTTACATCATTTCAGAAGTGTATCGGAGTTGTGCGAGTATTGGCTTATGGGACATCAACAGATGCAAAGATGAATATTTGAGAACGAGTGAAACTGTAACAAGGGATGCTCTCATAAAGTGTGTAGAAGGTGTCATTTCATGCTTCAGTCGGGCACCTCACAAGGCCCAATGAAGACAATTTGGCATGACTACTTCCAGTTGATGAAGAACGTGGATTTCCAGGTATAATAGGCAATATTGACTGCATGCCAATGGAAATTGTTGCATCGTATGACCTATGGATATGACATGCATTCTTCGAAACATCAGGTCTGTGCAATGATATTAACACCCTCCACTGATCTCCAAATTTCCAAATCGAGTTAAGCACCAAATGTGAGTTATGTCGTGAACAATTGGGAAAATAATAAGGCAGATTATCTCACCGATGACATATATCCTTCATGAGTTACCTTTGACAAGACAATAACTTCTCCACGAGTTCAGAAACACAAGTTGTTCGTTGCACACCAAGAGGTCGCTAGAAAAGATGTTGAACGAGCATTTGAAGTTCTACAAGCTTTTTGTACGTTTCTTCGACACCCATGTCTTGTGTAGGACAAGGATATGATAGGTAAAATTATGATTATGTATATCATCATTCATAATGTAATTATGGAGGATAAATGACACACATACCTTCACTATTATGATCCATCCGAATTTTTAAATGACATGCCTACAAACTGGCAACAAAAAACCTCTATCGAAGATGATGAACAACATTTTCAATATCCAACTCATCGAACTATATTAGTTATATACACGATAGAACAAAACTTCATAATAGAGAAGCTCAAAACGCTTTAAAAAACGATGTGATTGAACATATATGGAAAAAAATTTACATAGATGAGTAATTTTGTATTTTGTAACTATACTTTTATTTTATTTGTTTTCGAAATGAAATAATTATCTTTAATATTTATAATTCCTTTTAGTAGAAAAGGAAATAATCATAACTCATATTCATTTAATAAAATATTTGATTTGGATTGGTAGCTAATGGGTGTGAAAAAAATAAGTTTTGTTGGTTGTGTAGGTGGAAGAGATATAAATTAATTTTTTAATAGATAGTTGGGTTGGATTTGATTGCAATGGGAGTAATCTTTGTTCATTACAAGTCAAGCATTTTTAAGGTATTCATAGTATGCTTATGTGTCGTAAAAATGGGATTTGGTAGAAGAGCTCAACAGGTTCATATAAAACTCGATCACAATGTCATCAAGTTATAGTAAGGACCAACAACCGACAAGTATTTTTCATTTTGGAGACTCACTGACCACACTGAAGATTCCTTCCACCCTGTTGCGATTTTCAATGTAGCGTGCACCACAACTTGAGACAAGATCAGTTTTAGCATGAACACGCCTACCCCTTGTCTCCTCTGTCCCTGTCCCTGTCCTCTTCTTCTTTGGGTTCAGGAATCCATTAGCAAGAGCTTCTAAGGCTTTCATGGACAATGGCCGGTTTCTTCTACTCTGCCTTTGACCACCATTCAACTTAGATTGGTTGGTGGTTGTTTCACATTCATGTAAAACTGAGTGATCACCATCTGAATCCGGACCCACTCGAGGGTTGTTCAAGTCTATCACTATACCTCCACGCTTCTTCTTCTTCTTCTTACAACGTGGATCCTCTTCCATAGCTTCATCTTCACAACTCAACAAGTTGTCATTGGTCGTATTATGTTTTCTTGGTTTTGGTACTTCGCATATCAACTTAAGTTTTCTTACAGGTTTTCCTTCCTCAAGTCTCGACACCAATGGATTAAGATGGTTCACACCACTAGTCTCACAATCTTGCGAATCAACAACACCATGATTCGCATTTTCTTCTTGAGATTCTTCTGTTGTTTCTTGTTCAGATTCTCCAGAAACACTAGATGATGATTGTTGGGGGACATGCAAATTTGTAACCTCACTCACTTTAACAACCCCAGCCAAACTGGTATCCACAATCGTGCATTTCATCAAATCCTCATTCGAGTGCTCGTGGTCCTTGTCGAGAATCCATGGTTCTGATGCAACTTTGTTCAGGAGTTCATTGAAGGAGTCAAAATATTGACTTCCTTTCTCGAGGCTTCGTCTTGAAAACTTTGTGACTCCAGGTGCAAGAAACATCAAAGAGTGGTTGTGGTTGTGGTTGTGGTTATTAGAGTTTTGGAAGGCATAATTTTTATGCTGTTCAGAGTGCCATCCTCTTGCTAAAAGGCGAGGCCAGACAACTTCCCAGAAGATTTCATTTAATCTTTCTTTGCTTAATCCGATTCCATCCTTCAAAAGGTTGACAATTTCCTCTGGTTCAAGTGAGGAGCATGCAATTGCAGAGCTGCTGTTAAGCTTCTTGGGCCTACCAGTAAGGTCTCGTTTTCCTTTCCCAATGGCTATGGCTTCTACAAGAAGATTGATGCCCACTGCATCCCTTACACTCAGTACATACTTGTCAAATGAAATTTTTTCCTCCTCATACGTTCTAGTCACCTGGAAGAAATTGTAGATGAGACTTTCTTCAAACACTCTGGTTAATGAAAGATGATTTAAGACTGTAGGAAGAATGAAATATATATTTAGTATAATACGTACCTGTGTCAAACTAGTTTTGCATTCATCTGTGACATTAGGAAGCAAGCGGGACAAAAGCTCATGTCGCCTCCACCCTTTAAAAATCTTTTTTCCAGGTACAGACTTTCTGCTTCTCTTCTTCCGAAACTTTGACCATTTTTGGTGTTCACCACTTGTATAGAACTTTCCATAGTAGTAAGATAATACATTTCGCATTCCTTTATTCCCCACAAATTTGTTCACAAGACCAAGATTCTTGCCAAATATATATAAACCAAGAAGAAAACTATCATGTTCAATCACACTCCATGACTCACTTGATGAACCAGGAACCAGACTGTCTCTGTCTGTTCCAGATTTACCCTTACCCCCCTTTGTAGCTTTCTTGTTCTTATGTTGATTGTGAATCCAAATGACTGGAATTGACAGACCGAATCTAAATTTGTTTTGAACATCTTGACAAGTTGGGAGTTGCTCTTTTTCTGTCATCAAAAGTGGGATTTGTGCCTGGTATTCATCTCCAATCCGGGCAGCCCTTTGTGGCTCTCCATAAATGTCACCAGCAGCAACAGAAGAAGAAGAATGTTCTGAGTGGAGCCACTCATAGCGTTTATCAACATCTTCCATATCTTTATCCATCTAATTATATCAAATCAATACAAAAAAAAAAAAAAAAAAAAAAAAAAAAAAAAAAAGTATGATGTGAGCTTCAATGTCATTAACTGTGTATGAAAGTGTAAAGTCTGACTGAATCGAGGTATGCCTTATTTAAACAACAAACCACCTAAAACACCATTCTTTTCTTCATCTTGTTGCCATATCAACACCCAGTTGTAAATGCTACAAGTTACATAAAAATGATAAAGAATGTAAGGTATGCAGTATCCATACATACATGCAAAAAGAAGATATTTTTATTCTCAGAGTTCTCAATTGCATCACTTCCCTTGATAGGCAGCTCATGTGACCTCTAAAAGGTATTATATTTCTTCTTAGTTTTTTTAAGGCATGAAACTCCAACACCATCATGGTGAATTTCTGTGTTGTGATCATGGCAAAGGTCCAAATATGTTGATTATTTATGGTTTTCTTTTTCCTTCAGCAAATCTTTTTTGACATGATTTTTCAATAAATTAGGGGACTTACTGAAACAAAGAGGAAGTGTAATGCAAACTATTATCATCAGACTGAGACCAAATTCGTAAATAAGTGATTGTGTGATAATGAGCAAGGAATATGGGCATCAATACATTGATGATACTCAAAATATCATCAGAATTGTTCATCAAACAACTAACAAGAACAACAAACCTAATAGGAAGCAATCTTTTTCCTTAAAATTAATTAAAATTATCAACTATTCTATCTTTATGGTACCAAAAACAGAAACTATAACACAATGTTAATGCTCAGTTATTACATCAATGGTGATATTACATTCTTCTATAAATAACTATAAAACAAACAAATGAATTGAAATTATCAACACCCACATGAAAACAATGCTCAGATCCGTTTTGGAACCCAAAAATCATATCAAAATGTTAGCTACTGAAAAAAAATAAACCATCTTAGAAATTGCGTCAATAAAAACAATGAATGCTATGAACTTAAAAAGAAAACACGTTAAACACATAAAACATGGCGTGAAACAAACAAAATTGAAAGCATTTGTGATGTAGAAAGAGATTATTAGATTAAACCTATATCTTGCTGATAACCCCGATTTATGTACATACTCCACTAATCAAGATCATTATGACTACTACAACGAAGCAAAAGACGAAAAAAATGGGGAAAAAAGCTTGCTAAACTTGCATACAAACTTGAACGTAACGAAACCCGCACAAAGTTTAACAAATGGGTCTTGATTGCTTTGTATCAAATTCAAACTAGTTTATTATATATAGTTTAAAAAAATCCTTAGATAAACACAGATGGATTATGAACGCACAAACACAACACGATAAAAATGAAAAATGCAAGAAACAAACACATAAAAAGTATGGTTGATGATCAAGATATGATGGTAAGAAAGAATTCACCTTTGAAAATGGGTATATAACCCAAGTGAAGTAGTTATCGCAGGGTGAGAGCGTTCTTGAGGACTTTGCAAAGACAGAAGGTAAAATGTTTTACAGGGAGAGAGAGAGAGAGAGAGAGAGAGAGAGAGAGAACCCACCAAAGCAAGAAAGAAGTGTTGTGATGTTTAACTTTAAAATAGGAAGAGACGACTAAAAGCCAAAGGGATTTCATTCGGTTCGATTTTACGACTGATGGTGGGTGTATTTCGCTATTTTGTGACTTGTGAGACTCGCAAGCAACATTTTACAAAAGTTTATGCCTAGATAGACTTTTTAACAATAATTTTTTTAGAGTACCTTATATCAAAAAAAAAAAATATATATATATATATATATATATATATATATATATATATATATTAATTAATGATTAATTATATAAAATAATGTGACACAGTAAATGATATATTGGACGTGACTTTATTATTTAAATTTCTGGTAATTATTTTTACGATGTATACAATAAATACAATTATAAAATAATAAACAAAAATAAGAATAATCTTATTCTATTACGTAACTAGATTATGACCCGCGTTAAACGCGAGAGAATATAAAAAAAATACATATCGTATTAATAGGCGGCATTGTATTTGGTGGAATTTTAATAAAAAAACTTAATTAGATTCATTTTTAGAGTTTTTGAACCAAACTTATTAAATAAAAATATTTAATTTTTATATTAGAGAAATTTGTTTTTTTAGAACAATAATATTTAACACAAATGATCCACATGATCTTTGTTTTTTGTTTTATCACAACTTGATGTGACTCATTGTTTAAAACATGTTGTGCAGTAGCTTTATGAACTAACTTTATTTCAAGTAACAAATCCCTATTGACGGAACATATTCCGTTTGTTGGATCTAGTAAAAATGTACAAACATATAATGAATGGAAAAACTGGATTTTTAGTGACAATCTTTCTAATGCGTGACTGAATTATAAAAAAACTAATAAGAAATAAATGAAATATAAATTAATTTGATTAAACCCCGTATTGATACATCAACACCATAGATAAAACTTTGAATTTTGTGATATGTCTCTGAATTGACAATTCCTCTGTTTAACATTATAGAAGAATTTTCATCTACTTAAATAGATAACTACGAAAAAACAAAGATCATTATTTATGATGAGTTTGGAAAAATGAAATATAAAGAATCAACTTATTAATGACCAAAAAAAAGTTTTCTTGAGGAAAATGAAGAAAATTATGGAACTTTACCGAACATGGTATATGTATAGATTTCGAATCATAATACATCTCATTATCATCAACATGTTCATTTGAAACATCATGCCTTTTTATCTATTTTCATCATGTTTCTTCTTTTTCCTTCCAACCTTTCCTGGCATCTCCCCAAATTCATGCGAAGATAACCATGGTTCTTTCTTTAGAAGGTCATTGAAGTTTGTTGATTTTATAACCTAATGCATAAAAAGGACATCGATCAATGAAGAATTTGGCAAAAATGATAATAGAGTGCTTAACGGTCACATATAAATGAGTATTTATTTCTTTTTATGTGGATTCAGATGAAGCATATTTCAATCTCCAAAACCACATGTTGTGTCAAAAGGGAATTTAAATCAAAACAATCACCAAGTCTAATTAGCCAATCGATGTATCATGTCGATATTCGAGTAGGAAATTACCTATTACAAAGGAAAATGATTTGTGTGATGAGGTAAAGTCTGGATATAGGTATATAACTATTAGAGTTAGCATAACATCAAATCATAAAATAAAGCTTAGAATTATACTATCAATTTTTAATATAGAACATAGATAGTTTTTAATATTGAACATAGATGGTTTTAATTCCAGTCAAAACTTTGTTTTACGATTCTAATTATACTTTTGTTAGACGGGTTGGGGCAAAAGGTCAACAATTGATAACTTTAAATTAAATTAAACACATGAAATTATGGGGACATAATATGATTTGCAAATACAAAATATTTTTATAAACACTGAATTTACCCTTTTGAGCAAGTTTAAATCAGTACAAGTCCTTTCTTTTTTATATGTTAAGAAGTTACGTATTTTTCAAAGAGTTATGTTAATAATGTAAGTAAAAATGGAAACTAATGGCTAATATGACATCATTTTTACAACCTTTTTTTAATGGGAATTTAATGGCTAATATGACATCATTTTTATAACCTTTTTTTTTTATTATGATAAGTACTGTGTTGTTTTATGGACACTTCTTTGTTAAATAAGAAATAAGACTAATGATTATTATTATTAAACAAAACCAAAATATAAACAAAATCATATATGATATTAAACATAAGAAAAATGGTTACAGTTTGACAATGAAATGTTTGTTGTTACTCAATACACACGAGGCAATACTACCTATAAAACCACAAGCATGGTACTAATATAGTGGGGAACCCAACTTGTCAAAGTTTAGAAGGATGCTTCTTCAAAAAAAACACCCAGGATACACTCCATAACTGTTTACACTTTATAATAGATAACTTAATAAAAATCTATTTCAACCACCTATATCAATCTTTATTCCAAAAAAATTGACCAGAAAAGAACAGGGCCTGATGAGGTGTCTGTAAAACATATAATTTTGTTAGTATGACTTTAAAGTATTATGAAATAGTTAAAAAATAAAAAACATTTATATAGTTACGAGTTTTAGTTATATAAATGTTTTATCTTTCCACCATGTATGGTAAAGAAGAATATATTTTTATATTATTAAAAACTCAAAATATTGATCCATTAGTTTTATGAAGATTCCAATAAATACACTAATTACATCTTTCGGTATTTGGTTTGATAAACAAACCAATGTAAGTGTGTCATTATTTTTATTAGGATAAATGCTAAAAATAGCAACATACTTTCAAATATTTGTCTTATCAAAACATTACATACACAGACACAAACATACATAAAGCCATACACACATTACTTTTAAAAGCTATCTAATATAACAATGTACTTTCAAAGTATGATGATTTAATAAGAAAAAAGACAAAAAAATCTAGAATTTAAAAAAGGTTGCAAATCGGAAATAACAATGAACATGAATCTTTTGTAAAAATACCATATTGATTGCATATCGGTCATTATCAACCAACTTTTGACCAATTTTAACATATTTTGACAACAATTTTTTGAAAAATGTCCTCACCACAGTTTAATAGTTGTAAAGTTTTCAAATTTTTAACTATTTTGACAACTCCTAATACTAATCATTGAACTTATAACATCTATTACAAAATATTAACAATAAACTTATCGTTCCAACGGAATGGAGCACTTAACGAAAATAAAATATTCAAAATATTGAAAGCAAAAAGAATAGAAAGAACTCCACATACATTGTTTCCCTAATCGAACATACAGCCCTCCAATACCAAATTTCACAATAACCACGAAAGGCTAAGTGCACACCTGTTTACTTCATCTACATAGTTATACTATTCACGATTAAAACATAATTCATTGACATCATGAACCAATCATATAGAGGTTCTTCAGTTAAATCTCCACAAAATACAGTAGTACACAAATTCATTTTTCTAACATCAAAATCCACTTCGAGTTTTCAATAAAGCAATTCAACTATATCAAATGCACATGAATAACAATCTTACGTAGTGTATATTAATATGCATCCTTATATTTAGTAACTTACTAAATAGTTAATGACATGAAGAACTTACCACACTATAAGTGAAACCACATTATTTTATTTTTTGTTCCAATCAACATCAAAATAACCACCGAATCATAGTAGAGAAGGTGCATAAAACCAATGACATTTCATCGAACAGTTAGTGCATATATATATATTATTGGTATTCAAGAATGCAACAAAAGAAAGATAGAAAATATGGTTGTACCTCAAGCAACCATTTATCATTCATTGCATCATCCTTAACAATGGTTAGCCAATCGACATTGATATTCTCCACATGACCTACAAAATCATCATTTTTAACTTTTAGGTTATGAAACCTTCAAGCTCCTTGCCCCTACTTTTGCTTTTTCATATAATTCATATGCAGTTCGAAGCTAGAAAAAACATACAATAACAGGATGTGAATATATGATAAATTTAGAAATATAGTAAACCAAATAATAAGGACTCTGTTTAATCAACCTGACCATTCTTTTTTTAAATAATAGAAAAATTGATGTTGTGGTTTACATACCAGAAGAAATGCATGATTGAAACACGACCATAAATCTTGTGTTGCATGGTAAATTGAAATCCATATAAGAACCAAAAAATCAATGGATCAGTAAAAAACATAGGAAGAAAAATAAAAAAATCGAGATATTTCTCGTGAACGTAGAAACTAATATAAAAAATCAAACCCAAATATAACCAGATTTTCAATTAAAAAACCACAAACATCAGTGGAAATGGATTTTCATGGTTTAATGGTAGAACAAAAAACAATCAAAAAAGGTTTAACTATTAAAAAAAAGATCCAAAACAGAATAACCTCTACAAAAGGGGGAATAATAATTATTGAAGCTTTAATCGTAAACCTCTTTTTGAGTTGTATTAGAAATTTCTTCATCAAAATTGAAAGGTACAGAAGAAGAAAAAAAACATAGACGATTTAAAATATGATGTATAGGGAAAAAACCTTAAAATCAAACCCACAACCGTACTTGGACTCGACCGATCCACCTTCATAACTTCAATTTGCCGTTGGATGTCAGATGGAAGTCTAAGATGAGGTGTAGCGGCGGTGAAGCAAAGATGGTGGGTTTAGCATATGATGAAGAAGCTAGGGTTTCGACGGCTTGGGTATTAGAGGAGATATGAGGAGAAACAAAGAATCCTAATTGATTATGAATATAAATAATGGGAGGATGAGTGCCAAACAGGAGGAGTTACGTAGTGAGATAGAAGTTAAATTGGTAACTGGTAGAAGGTGGGAGTCGGATGTTAAAGGAGTGTTGCAGAAGCGAAAGAGAGAAGGTAATAATTTATGGAAAAATCAAGAAATCAGCCTGCGAGATTGAGGGAATTGTCGATTTAAAATTTTAAATTGCAGAAAAAA